GCAGCTCCTCTCTTGTGCTCTTGGCTCCTCACCAGCAATTCAGGCTGTTTCGCATTCGTTATGTGTGTGGTGGTTAAAATTCACTCTACCTCAAACAAGACCTTTCAAAACGCTTAACCCTTTCCTGGGTGAAGGACTCCATCACTACGTTGTGAATTCAGACGCACAAAAAAAAAAAAGGAGGAGGAGGAGGAGGAGGAGGAGGAGGGAGAAGAGCGAGGGGAGGAGAAAGGCAGGCGGAGGTATTTTGGGTAAATGTTTTAATATCACGTCTCTGACAGTCACAATATTGCCTGCGTTCACATCCACAAACAAATACGGGGAAGGAACTGGTGCCAGCGCGGCCGGGAGACGCAGAGCAGGCGCTCCCCAACCTGTGCTGGAGCCCGGGCAGCCACCCGCGCTTTGCATCGCTTTCCCTAAACCAACACGGCCCCGGCAGCGGGTGGTGGGAGGCAGGAGGGGCACACTCGGAGTTTGGATTAGGAGCGGCTTGTTTTTTCATTCCTAATTGGTTTAAGATAAACTGAAAGAAGGCGGCTTTTAGACCTCAATAAGTGTGTCCAACGGGCTTTTTGCACAGGCTTCACTAAATCAGGTCAAAACCAACACTCCAGTTAAGCCGGTGACACAGCGTGTCTGCCTGTGCCCACAGCCATATGGAAACCTCTTGACAGGTCACCAGCAGTGCCCAGACACTCTTCCAAGCCTTGCTTGCAGCCACCCGAGCACCAAATCCTTCCTGGGCAGGACCCAACCACCCCCAGGCTGCAGGAGAAGATGCGGGTTCCTCGAGCTCTGTTAAAACTCCTTTCTTTTAGCAGGTTGCATGGTTTTGTCAGAAAGCATCGCCTTCCATTTCATTCCTCATGCAGCACAGCTCTGAAACAAAATGAATTCACTTTCCACTCAGACCATAGCTCTGGCCACAGTCCCACTGATGTGACCTGTGTTCACCCTTCACTCCTCAGCCCCACAATGGGAACCCAGAGCGGATGGGAACCCGGCTGCAGGGCGACAGGAGGATGAAGCAAGCTGTCATCAGCACTGCTTGCTGTGGTTTGGGCTCTGGGGGATTATTTTCAGCTCCTGCTGACTCATCTGAGAAATGTCTTTCCCTCACCAAGCCTTGTGCTTGGCTGCTTGGTGCTGTCCCTAATTCCTGCCTCTAAGGGGCACGAAGGGTTCTCAAGGTGATGGCAGTCCAGCTCAGCTGGCAGTGGTGCAGCAGAAGGACCCAGGATCTGCTTGGTTCTCCTCAGCTCACACGACACTCTAAGCATCATCCAGGCGTGTGCCATGTGGGGAACCCCCAAAAACCTCGTGGAGCCTCTACAGAGCCTCCAAGGAAGAGCGGAGTCAGGAGTATGTGGGAAAAGTCCCTGCCTCCACTCCCAGGAATGGGAGCTTGAAGCCTTTCTGCTGCTGAGTTCCTGCTTACGGATCAGCCTGAAGGCTTAAAAGAACCTGGTATCAATTGGAGCCAAACTGAATCTCTCAAAGACTGAAAGCAGGAAAATGCTGGAGCATCACTCTCACCTTCCCCAGGAACTGATTCATCCTCATCCTCGGTCCTTCCATCCCTTTCCTTCTCCCAAAATCTCTCCAGCTTTGTACTGCAGCTGAGCTCAGCCCTCCCCATGGAACAAATGGGAAAAACAAACCCCTGAGAGCTCCTCTTGCTCTTGCAAGAGCTGTGGGCTGCAGCCGGGAAGTGCAAGGAGTGCGATGGCCCTGCACGAGGTTTATTAAAGCTGAGCACTGCCATGGGGACACCATATAAGAATTTGTTTGCCATAAATCGAATAACTAACTGTAAAAAAGTGTAACAAAAGTTGATATCACTCCAGGAAAAATTACAACAAGGAGGATGGGAAGGGACTTTTTCCACCATATAGAAGGAATGTGGATACGGGCTATAAAATTAATTTCCTCTTCCTTAATAAACAGCGCCTTCCGAGCAATCCAGATAAATAGCAACAATTATAACTCCTTGCATCAAAATAAAAGAGGAACTATTATCACTTGTATATTCCTGTAATTATCTTGAGAACCCTTTTTTGTTGACAGCCGGGGGTCAAAAGCTGGCCTTGGTTTCACCTGATCTCATTGACTTGTGCAGAGACATTCCAGATCCGCGCCAGCACAGAGCCACCAGCCCAGGCTGGGAGCACACAATGCAGCCATTCACACTGGGAATTCAGCTCGGGGAAAATCACGTCTCATTCTGCAGGCTTCATCCACACAGCACATGGAAAAAAGGAACAATGCATGAAAACGCATTTGTACAAACAGCAAAGATTTCAAAGCAAAATGCTCTTCTCCATTTATAACCTGTACCACAGATCAGTGTTCTCCTCGGAGGTTGTAAGTGCAAAACTAAGCATGGGAAATGAACATCAGGAGATTTCCAGCATGCTTTGAAGTCAGAGTCACTGAGAATGCTCAGGGCAAGGAGCTTTCCCTGCCTGTCATCTCTGTGACATCTGGTAACGTCTTTGAGTTTTACTCCATAGGTTTGCAGTGGGTGTCAGCCAACAATCAGTGTCAGTATTTTCGGTGATGTGCACTGCTACTCAATGCAGACATTCTGACTCTGCCTCAAAGAGTAATGCAGACATCAGTGAAGTCACTGTGAGCTCCGCTACTGAACATCAAGGGGACTGTAAAGATAAGCACTTACATTCCTATCTCACTCTTCTTTTTTCCTTCCCCACGCATGGCACTTCGGAGTGGAAGTCCCACAACAACGTACAGAGCAGGCAAAGCCAAAGGGCATCAATTTTTCTCACATGAACTAGAATGAGACTTGAAGCTTACATTGCAACTGGAGGGAGGATAAAGGAGAAAAGAAAGTCTGCTCTGAAAGTTACTCTGCAGCTTTGGCTTACGGTGTAATAAAGTCATTTTGCCAGAAGTTTTGTAAACGAGCACAGAGAAAATGGTGTCCAGTTACAGACACTCTGGCACGATAGGTCTTGGCGAGGCTGCAAGCAGATTTGCTGTGGGACTCTGTTGTTCAGACTTTGTTAATGTTCTTGAGCTTCGTTAATTGTCATCACATTTATTATCCTCATGCTCAAACATTTTCCACAGCACTGCACCACAGCCAGGCCCGGTGTGCACTTCTTTGCAGATCTAATCCCAGCCCCTTCTTCTCAGTTTGGGCCCAGCTTGGGAACCTCACACCCGTTTGTCTGAACTGCAGAAAACAAACTGCAACGTCATCTACATAACCAAAAAAAGTCACAAACGTAACTATTTTAATGGCTGGATTAAAAACAGAACACACACACGCACCACGTGTAACGTATAATTTTGTTGCTATCATAATTAAGAGGTATTTACATGGGTTCACTAACCAGAAAACAGAATCTGTTACTGTAAAATTCCTCCGTGCTGTGCAGAACAGAATGAACTCGGGCTAAAACCATGCAGTCTGACCTTGCAAAGCCTTTCTCACGTGAGCAGTCTCAACAAAATCCTACGAAATCCTTGGGATTACTTGCATGGAAATACACTCCTTGAGGAAGTATAAAAAAAATAAAGGCAATCTCGCAGTAAGGCACAGTTTAGGTACAGGGAAAGGGAGCAACAAGGAGAAAACAAAACAAGATAAAAAGGAAACATCAGAACAGAAAGCCTCGGTCAACGTTTTATTCTGAATAGCCTCTTTCAGAAATATTCCAAGTTCCACAGCAATGGGCTCAAGGAGAAAGAAAACATAACACAGACTTGATAAAAAGCCACTTTTAATTTTATCAAATTGATCTGTACAAAAGTTAGCATTGCTTAGTCAGAAGCTAGTGAAGAGAACAGATAAGTAACAGCCAAAGTCTTTCAAACTTTATACAGAAAAATAGATTGCATAAAAATGAGTTTTCTGTATTTTTCCCCCACCCCCACGTTCCCAAAAGGAAATATGCAAAAAATATTTTTAGAAAAAGAGTAGGAAACGTAGAAAAGGTAAAAAGATGATAACGTCTGAAACGTGTTTTTAGATTTACAAAGTTTTTAAAGGCACAAGTTATCATAAAATAGATGGTTATTATATGCTCAGCATACAATGGAAGAAGTAGAAATATATCAATGAAATATTAGTCTAAAACTAAGTACCTAAACATTTTTTTTAGTGGAGAAGATTTTAGTTTCACAGCTTGATGGATGATACCTGGTCCCTAGAAGCCCAAAAAAATAAAAAGAAAGTAAAAAAAAAAAAAATCAAAGCAGAAGTTGATAATTCCTCATTAAATTACATCTTCCTATAAAGTAGTCCTGGTTCTGAAAGTGTACAACTATTCGCAATGCCTTCAATCCAATGTTAGAGCCTGAAAGTAGGTAGGCAGGAAAACATGGCGCTGTCTGCTGCCGGCCGGTCGTGTGAGCCTCCGAATTTAGGGAGCAACTCCTGCAGCACCCCTCAGCAATGTGCTGCAGCTCCCATTGGAGTTCCCTGCTCATGACCAGGTCTGTGTGAGGCTGCAGCCTTCAGCCTCCCTCGAAGCGGTTCAAAACAAAAAGAACCCGAAAACCAAAGAGTATCTATAGACTCATAACACCGTTTTATTGTATCATCTCCACTATTTTTATGCTCCCTCCCCACCCCATCTTTAAAAATCTTTTAAAATTCTACTTTTTTTTTTTTTTGCACAAAATTACTTCATTAATTAAAAGACAAAATAATACAGAACATAAATACATATTTAACAGATTAAAAAAAAAAACACTTTAAGCTTCAAAAAAAAAACAAAAAAAAAACCAAAACAAAATGTTAATTACAGCCAAACCTTGCTTAGAAGAACTCTCGACTACAAAACAAACACTTCAGACACGTAATTGGTTGGTCCCACCACACTCACTTGTTCCCACAAGATTGTTACGCAGAATCGCTGGGGTTTTGCTTTCTGTACGCCTTGGTCCGGGTGAGTTCTTGCTCTCAAGGTTGGTCCGTCTCCCACATTGCAATAGACCCTGAAAGTCTCCAACATCTCTTCCTTCCCCCCCACCACCCCCCTCCCCACCCCATTTTGCACTTGTCAGCTTCCACAATGAATAAGTTCAGTCCTCACAGAGGAGTCGAATGGTTTTGTCCTTCATTTATTCAAAAGGAATCACCGGTCCTTTTCATTATTTCGTTTTAACTCTTCTTTTTTTTTTTATTTAATTTTATTAATTAAAGAAAAATAGAGCTCTGTCCTTTTGGAGAGTTTCAAAGCAAGGGGACACCCAGTCGCAACGAGCAGAGTTCCCAGCGGCTCAGGAGGCACTTGGGAAACAATCGCGGCACTCCACGTTCTTCCTCTTCGTTCCTTCATTAGTGCATACGTCGGGGAAGCCCTGGGGGGGCTCCACGCATCCTTTTTAAGGCCTTGTCAGGGTTGTGTAGACCGGCTGGTCCCAGTTAGCGGTGGGGCTGTGGGCCGGCGGGATGGACAAGCCGTTGAGGATGGGCGTCGCGTAGGGACGCCGTGAGGAGTGGAAGTAAGGGTACTGATAGATGCTGGAGGGGTAACCGGGATAGGGGTTGTAGTAGTTGGAGCTCTGCAGGTCCGTGTAGTCGCACTGCGAGCTGGAGAAGGAGGCGGCAGCTGTGGCGGTGGAGGCGGTGGTGGCACAGGCCTGGGTGCTGTAGGAGCCGTAGTCGGAGTGCGCAGGGGAGCCGTGCGACTGGTCGCTGTAGTGGCTGGGGCTCAGCTGCTCCGTTTTGATGTGCGGCCTTTGCTGGCCCGAATCAGCCGACGATGGCGATGCCGAGGCCGGGCTCTTGTGAGTCCACACCTGGCCAGCCCCGCCGGCGCCTGCTGCCGAGTGGGAGTAGGACGTGCTGTATGAGCCAGCACTGGGGCCGTGGTCGGCCGGCATGGCGGTATGGCCATTGAGCGGCAGGTACTGGTCAAACTCGTGCACATCGAAGGTCTCCATGTTGTTGATGACCTCGCTGCTCAGCTCTGAGATGTCCACGTTGCTGAAGTCGATGTTCTGGCGGCCGCTCTCCACGAGGCGGCGGCCCTCGTGCTTCAGCTCCTGCTTGCTGCCGTGGTGCAGGTCGGTTTTGGGGGTCGTGGGTGGTGTGGGTGGCCCATGGGGCTGGCCTGGGGACAAAGGGACAGGAAAGTTTTAAAGAGAGCAACCACAAAACATCTCTCAAGGAAGTCAAGAACCACATGTTTCTCCCCGTCCATAAGGCAAAAAGGGAAGGGGTAACTTTAAAATAGAGCCCCATGTTGGAGGTGGCTGATGTTTCCCCTTCATCCCCCATTATTTCCTCAAGTTGGGGTACAATGCCCACAAAGCCAAAACTTCATAGTGAGAAGAGCAACCCAATGAGTGCTGCATCCCTGTGCGGTCACCCTCACAGTAGAAGGACCCCTCTACACAGATGGCCTGAGGCCAGCGTGGCTCCCCTTGAGCAGAGATGCTGTTCCAGCCACACGGGAAGGGGCCAGGTCCCAGCCAGGCTGGGCAAGAGTGCAGACACGCCTGCAGCCACAGGACGTTCGCAATCCTCCTGGAATCTGTCAACACGTACCCTGTGCCAATTCACAGCACTGCAAGAAATGGGGAGCTTCAGGGGGCACCACTCCCCCACGAACCCTTCAGGTTTACCAATGCATTATTAACCTGTACTCGCTCACAATTAATTCCCCTCTCTAAAAACAAAATCTGAGTCATTTTCGCACTTCAGGCATTTCCAGTTGCATTTAGTAAATGCATGGCCACACTCACAACCTGATGCAAAAACCACAGTTCTTAGAGCAATGGCTCTGCTTTTGGATGCCCCTCAGTCCAACACAGCACAGACTCTGAGCATGCAGGCAGGCTTGTTCCCACTGGTAGGTTCAAGTCACAATGCAACACCCCCACAATGAACAGTTCTCAGCCCCCCCAAGACCCTTTACCTGTGTGCTCGCCATGGTGGTGGCCATCAGCCATGCCCCCCAGCCCGCTGTCAGCCTTGTAGATCTGGGTGCCGGCGTGATGGCTGAGCTCGGCCCCGGAGTCAGAGTCGCTCTGCCCAGCTTTCACGCTTTTCCTCCTCCGGGGCTGGTATTTATAATCCGGGTGATCCTTTTTGTGCTGGACCCTGAGCCGCTCAGCTTCTTCCACAAAGGGACGTTTCTCATTTTCACTTAACAAACTGGTTTAGGATTTTTATATATATATATATTTTTTAAAATAAGGAGGAAAAAGAAAAATCTAAAATTAATATCTTTTCTTTATAAGTTTTCAGTTTATTTTCTGACTCACATCCCCACTGCACTGACCAAAGAGTTCAATACAAATTTGCCGTAGCGGCAAAAAAACCAAAACCCTACTGCAAAAATGTGTTAAAATATCAGTTATAGAGGCAGAGAAAAGCACATCCTTACCAATATTGATAATCAGACAAAACATCCCCCCTAGCCCATTTAAAATGCCACTTCTCATCCCTTCGCCAAATATAATTCCCACAGTCACCCTACAAATACCACCCTGCTGCCACAACCCGCAGCGCTGCCCACGTCCAGCTTTGTGTGGGAACCAAAGGCAAAGCAACGGGATTCTTTCTCTTAAATCTTCCCCCAGCCCCAACCTTGCTTTGTACACTGCCGAGGAGCCCAAGCAGGCAGCAGCAGTGCGGGTTGGGTGCAGCTGCAGCGCACGGCCCAGCAAGAAAAGTTTGCATCAGCGGTAGTAATGGTGCTGATAGTGGGGAAAGTAAGAAAGCAATGCAAAATCAGAGCTAAAAATCGGCTTGCTTGGTTTTACAGATTGTTAGGCAGCAAGCAAGCCGGCTTGAGAAAAAAAAAAAAGTGCGTGAGAAAAAGCCATTGTAAAAGAAGCAATACGAAAATAAGCGGAGTTTCTCGGGGATGTAGGAAGCGCTGGAAAGAACAGGAACGAGCAAGGGCTGGAGAGTCCGAAGTGCTCTGAGAACCCCTCCGCGGGTAAAGACGGACAGGGAAAAAAGTTAAAGAAAGGGAAAACGTTAAAGAGAAAGGGAGAAAACAGTATGAAAGATGCGGTGAGAGAGATGCGAAGCTGCGCGAACGGCAGCGAAGCCCCGGAACGTCCCCGGGCGGCGCGGAGATGCGCGGTGCGGACTCACCGCCAGAGCTTGCCCAGCGTCTTGCTGAGCTCGGCGTTGTGCAGGTGCGGGTATTGGTCCGCCAGCTTCCTGCGGGCGGCCTGCGCCCACACCATGAAGGCGTTCATGGGCCGCTTGACGTGCGGCTTCGCCTTGAGCGACCCGTTGCCGCGCACGGGCATGGGCACCAGGCTCCAGTCGTAGCCCTTCAGCACCTGCGAGACGGCGTCGCGGATGCAGGCGGGGAAGCGCTCGTCCACCTCGGCCGCATCCACCTTAGCGCCCAGCGGGGCGGCACCGGGGGGGCGCGGGGCGGGCGCGGGGGCGCAGCCCAGGCCCTCGGAGCCGGCGGGGGACAGCGGGGAGTCGGAGTCCGAGTCCACGTGGGACATGGAGCTGGTGGTGCCCGCGGGGCTGCACGGAGCCTCCAGCGCCTTGTCGTGCTCCTCGGTCATGTTGAGCATTTGGTGGCCGCGAGCGGGGCGGGATGGGGAAAAGGATGGGGGAGGCGAGAAGGGGGCGCGGGGCTGAGCCGCCCCGAGAGGAGCAGCGGTGCCGTGCAGCCCTCCGCAGGCTCCCAGAAGGCGAGGAAAAAAAAACCAAAACACAAATAATAAAAAAAAAAAACTGAGCAGAATACGATTTCAAGAAAAGGAAAAAGGCACAAAGGTAGCAAAATCAGCCCAACAAAAAAAAAATTGCGATCAAACTCTCGCTCAGCAGTCCCGGCGCCCCGCACCGCTCCCTTCGTTCGCCGCCGCGCTCCACATCCAGTGCAAAACGCGGCCCCCGGCAACGGGCGCCTTTAAGGCGCGGGAGTGAGGCTCCGCCCCCAGCGCCGCTCCCGATTGGCGGAGAGGGCGGGGCTCATTTCCATACGGGGCGGTGCGTGCGGTGCGGGGCCGCGCTGCTTTCGCGCCGCGTTCCCGCCCGGAGTCTCCGCTGCCGCTCGGAGCGGTTCGGTTCGCTGCTCTGTTCTCCGCGCTGCGCGGCTGTAATGCGCCGTGGACGCTCCGCTGTGCCGTACCGCTGGGGCTGATGGGGATTCCCGGCGGCTGGGCTGCGGTTAAAGCCCCGGCTGTGCGCGAAGGTCCTTTTATTCGGGGGGTAATGGGGTCTCGGTGCGGTTGGGGTGCACTGAGCTTTTGCTCCCTGCGCTGTTTTTTTAGCTGTTCAGTCGGTGATTACCAGGAGAGGAACGCGGTGCTCTGTGCGTCCCGAGCGGCCCGGTGCCGCCCCGCTCCCCCCGCAGCCTCCGGGCCGAGTTCAGTGCGAGCGCTGCTTCCCCAGAACTCATTGGAAGCATTTGATTCTAATTAGCCGCGGAATCCAGCCCTGTAATTGGGGCTGGAAGAAAGCAGTGCCCCGAATTCCGGCTTTATTCCTTCCTCAGCTCCTCTTTCCCTCTGGAAAAATAGGGTCAAGCATAAGATTTACAGGGAAAAATAAGAATTGTGCTCCAACACTTAGAAATAGCAGCGATGTGTGGCTGTGAGCATCGTTTGTTTCCTGCAATGTATTCTCACCTTGAAATAAAGCATGCACTCTGAATTCAAACTGCTTTCACTCGTGTGTGTGTGTGCCACAGCGTGCGCCTCTGTCCTATGGGAAAATGGGTATATTTCAATGAAGTGCAAAGCAGGAATTTGTATTATTTAAAAACTCTCTCATTTCCTTATTAATGTCATTTCTCAAGATTTCAGCTTTCCGTTTCCAGAGCTGCAAAATGAATTACCTTTGGGCAAAGCTTTTCTTTTTTAAATGTAAATTCACAAAGCGTCGCTTAAAATAATACTGTCTTAAAGACTCCCGACAGCATCTGGATGTTAACCATGTGAGCAAGGGGTGAAGGAACATCTCTTCCACTCCAAAGCTCCGTGGGGCTGTGGGTTTAGCAGTGCTGTGGGTTTAGCAGTGCTGTGGGACACGCAGCAGAACTCTTCATGTCAGCTGAGAAATGATGCCGGTCACTGTGGGGTCTCGTGGCTCCTTACTAAATTTGTTGTGTGGTGTTTCTGTGAGTCAGGTAAATTGTATTTCATTCATTGAATGAATGATGGCTGAGTCAAAGAAATAGTCACTGCTTTCAGTCCCTGATTGCAGTCAGCCTCTCCTAGCAGCCCTGGGAAGATCCCATTGTCATTGTAGGGTTGGGAGGGCTCTGTGGGGTGAGGAATGGCAACTAGAGCTGTGTTCCCCTCATTGCTGCCCTCAGGCCAGGTCATCCTGCAGCCCTGAGGAATGTGAGATCAGCGATTCTGCTTTTCTCCTCATTCACATCCTGCTGTCCTGCCTGGCTCCCCAGTGCTGCCTGGGGCAGTGAGATGCATCTCCTGGCCTGAAAGTAAAAGCAGATAGGAGAACATCAGGAGCCGCTGCCTCTTATCCTGGAGATGGGTAGGAGAAGGGGAGAGCCGGGGATGGGCAGGGCACGTTTCCTCACACCTGCTTTGGGGATCTTGCAGGTCCATATCTGGTTGACGAAGAGTCGAGGATGTTTGCCCAGGGATGGGCAAAGGATGGAGCTGCAGGACGGGTCCTGTGGTGATTCCACACCATGTGTTGTTTTATCCGAGGCTATCAGCTGGCTGGGAGGAGCACAGACATCTGAAAGGGAAGGGCATCAGGGGCTGAGACAAGGGGCAGGTACAGCCACGCTGCAGTTCCACTTCTGTAGGAGAATGTTTGAGTGTATTTCTTCCTTAGTGATTTTGTTTGTTTGGTTCATGCCATATCCTGGTTGATACCCTTTGGCCTTTAGCAGAAGAAAAGGGTTACTTCCTCAACCATGCCTATTACATCAAGCCTCAGAGGCCAAAGGAGAAACAGACTGCACAGTCTGCTTTGGGGAGCACTGAGGTTCACGTAATTCAGTGGAGGCTTAAACAGTGTGCTGAACAGGGCAGGGTTAGGGATGATTTGAGGTGGAACAGAGGGATAAATAAGCTGTTCTTGACAGGGTGGGTACAGCAGGAGTCTGTCAGGCACCTGCCAATACTGACAGTGTTGCTTCATTTTTTGTGAAGTCTGACACTGATAAAGTTCCTGGCCAATATTGCTTAGAATCAAGCAGTAAATCCCACATCTGTGTGCCTGGCTCCATCACATTGTCACTTGTCTCTAGGAGCCCTCAGAATCACTGACGGGTGGAGGAATTCTGACCCCATTCCCGGTTCCTCTCCAGCACATCTCCTGGTCCTGCACGGCAATGTCCTGGCTGCAGGGCTGTCAGTGCCCTGTGAACATCAGGAAAGGGACATTTCATCTCAGCATCAAACAGGAGAGTCATTTTCGTATGCATTTTCAGAGCATACAAGAACACACAATGGGAAATGCTCTGCAGCACACATTCCCTCGCTGGCTGGGGGGGTTGCAGCCAAAAGTGAGCTCTGCGGCTTAATCTGATCGAGTGGTGAGGTTATCATTTTTCAAAAATTGGCTACCTTTGAACTGCGAGCAGACTTTACATGGGAATTTCAAAGAGCAAATAGAAAGAACCTTACAGGGAGAAGAAAAAACAATCCCTAATCAGATAAGAGTAACCTATGCATCGTGTTAAAATAAGCCTCTGACATCTGCAGGATTAATGCTCTGCCCAGAGGATACGGCATTTCAGCGGCAGCTCAGGGATTTCTGCAAAACAAAATTCAGTCATTTTCAGTACAGCTACTGATTTCTAACAGGGAGGAAAAGATCCGCTGTAGCTTTCAGTTAATTTCAATTAAAACAGCAGCAAAAGAGCAGAAAAGCTTTGCTCTCAGAATGAACCATAGTATTGGGTCCATTCCTACAGTGTGCGCTTGCAAAGGCTCCAGCACAGACCGTTGTCTGCTCATACAAATCTAACATTGGATTTACATTGCTCAGCTGCTTGCTTGATCAGTTGTGGTCTGAAATCTGTCATCCATGCACATGAGCTGAGCCTTGCTGCTCTGCACAGTTTGGAAACCTAAGGAGTTGGATCCATTTGGAGGATGAAAATGAAAGAAGTTTTTTGCAAATTTTACTTAACGCTTGGAGTATTCAGTCCCCAGCATTTATTTCCACTGCTCCCACCACCAAGCTTAGCTGTGCTCTTAAAATTCTCAGTGTCACCTGCACAGCAGGAGTGAAAAACAACCGTGTGCTCCCATCAGAGTTCCTGCGTTCCAGACACGGTGCTCCCACCGCAGCAAGAACAAGTCTGTATTGTTATAGCCTCATCCAGAGCCCATTATTAGAGACATTTCCATGGACTGTGAAGAGCTGAGGCTCGGGGCTTGCATCACAATGATTGGAAGCAAACCTGCACCCATTGCACAGCTGCTGCAGCTTGCTGAGAGCAGGGTGAAGAAAGAGGGGTTTAAGTATTAGTTTAATATTAGTTTTTATTGCGTTAATGGGGCTCTGAGCTCATGCATCCCTTCTTTTTCTGGACAGCTGCAGGATAAATGTAATGCAGGAACGTGTCTCCTGGCAGCTCCTTTCCAACCCATGGAATATTTACCTGGCAAGATTAAGAAACTCAGCACACCTGCACCAGGCAGGGCTGTGCTGACCTTCCCTTGTTGCAAAGGCACATGGAGAGGAGTGCGCAGGAATCCTGAGTCCTTTTCTAGGTTTCATCATGGCAGGAGATATCAGTAAAAAAATGAACCTCTTCTTAGGAAGGTTTCACTTCAAAGAGCACTCTGTGAAAACCTTCATGTGCCGCGTTTGGCCTGGAGAGGAATTTCTGCTAAAATAAAATCAAAAAGCCCTCGCTGATAAATGCCTTTTTGATTATTAATTTTTAATATCCCAGTGGAAGATGTGAACTCGTGGCTCACATGGAGTTTTTGCCTTGCAGCGCTCGCAGCAGCAGTGCTGGCAGCCAAGGACCCGAAGCTGAAAGCAATTACAAACCTGAACAAGTTTCTTTTTCAGTCTCAGAAAATGTGTGTAGGGACCAAAACTAGGGGAAAGCAAAATATATGTCAAGGTCTTATTTCTATCCAAATTTTACAAGATGCCATTAGCATAGCAAAATTTGCTGTAGAGCGATGAATGACACCACAATCAGACTTTCAAGGCCAGGTGAGGCAGTGGCAAGAGATGTGTTTTTTCCCATTGCACGATGCAGGCTGGATGGCATTTTTATTTTATTTTCTCAGAATAATGGAGAACAACAGTTTTATTACATGTAATTACTGTGATTATTAATTGTTTGTCTTATGGTACCGCTTTGGAATACCACTTCTGAATCAACATCTCCCCCCCTTGTTATAGACACCGTACAAATACCGTAAGAAAAAAGTAATTCTTCCTCCAAAAATCCTTTTCAGTCCTAATCCTGCTAACCCTGGAGTTAAGGATCAGATTTCCATGGGGAAGGATCAGAGATTTTAATGGAAAAAGTATTACTGCTGGAAAAATGTTAACAAGTAGAAGGAAGCTCCCAAATTCTTCGTGAGATCCCACCTCCCATTCAGCAGACGCAGCTGAATGCTCCGTGGGATTGTCTATTACTGTATTATACATAAGTGAATGTATGTTTTCTTTAGAGGAGTCCCCAAATGTTAATGCTTCTTAACAAAATAGTTATTTCTGCACACATTCACTCGCTCTGTTTTATTTAAACCCAATTCCTGGCAGCCAGAGGGGGGGAAAAGTCTGGACCTGAATGAACACAGAGTAATTTAGGGTGCCAGGGACAGCAGGGCTGAGGTGCTGATGGGGACAGCTGCTGGGTGCTGTGACAGTAAATGCTTGTTTCTCTGACACTTTTGCAGCTGTTTGGAACACAGCAAAATAGGGTCGGGCGGGGGGACGTGGCGGCTCGCATTTTGTTGAATGAAGATCAGCATCAATGATGCCTCTGCGCTGCCTGCAGGCCTGACATTTATGAATCGCTTTCCCTTTGAGACGCGGAGCCTGGCTCTTAAATATCTCGTTTGTGTTACTTGCTGGGTTCTTACATTGTTTTCTTTTCTGATACTTTTGTTTGAGAAGAGGGAAAGCCAACAAAAATTACAACGTGAAAACGAAAGCTGACAACAAAAAAAGTGAGCAGAAAACCAAACACAAGACGACAGTGCACACAAAGCTGGGCACCAACACGAACCGCGGAACAGAGGGAAGGTAATTCAGCATTCTAATCCACCATTTTATGGCACGTTTTCCTTTATAGCTTGATCCATCTTCCAGAAGGGCTAAAGGAAGGCTCCTACGGCCTTTTATGAGTGCTGGATCAGTCCCTTAGAGTAACAACGCATTAAGGCTATTTAATATACTTAAAACCTTGCAGCTCGTATCGTTGCAAGGCACCATTGGCACGCTGCTGTCTCAGCCTGGGCTGCAGAGCTCAGGGCAATCCCTCGCCATGAAAACCGATCAAGTTCCGCGTCCCCAGCTCCAATTATTCCCTTTTTGCTAAATCTGTAGCCTAAGCCTTCCACTTTTCCTCAGCAATTTCCTCAATTATCCAGTTTGTTTTACAGACATTGCCACTTAACATGGAATTTGCTGTAAAAGTTTCATACGGACCCCACAGAGGAAACCATTAGCTTCCATCTCCTTACATCTAGCCAAACCTCGTGGCTAATCCAAAGGGAGAGCAAAACTGCAGTCCACCCGCAGCCCTTAACAAATAACTTATTTTTCCTTGCCTATACAATGCACCATTATGTCGTGTGTTTTTTTCTTTCTTTCTTTTTTTTTTCTTCTTCTGGCAGAACAATGGTGATGGGAAACTGAAAAAACAAAAGGGGCATTTATAAGGGACGGGCGTACGGTCTGAGGAGCACCGAATAGCGTTACACCTGATAACAGATACCTTCTCAGAGCGCAGCAATGCGCTGTTTATTTGGATGGGATGCGCTTCTAAAACCTTCCGAACAGCGGCCGGGGGCACTTTGCTGAAACGTGGATTTGGTTACAAACAATAACGTGGTTTGGTTACAAACAATACCCACGGCTGAACGTGGGGCCAAGCGCTTGATGGCTACAGTCATACAACCAGTGAGGAGACGTGGCTCTTGAGAACACGGTGGGCACAGTGGGGCGGGTTGGACTTTGGGATCAGAGAGGGCTTTTCCTACGGCAACGGTTTTACGAGCGACTCCCGGCTCTCCGCGGACCCGCAGCCAAGCGCGAGCGGCCGCGGCCGCGCTGAGGCGGCCGCTGCTTCCCGCCCGCCGCCCTGCCCGGCCCGCGGGGGGCGGCCGCACGCATGCTCGCTGCGGGTCCCGACATGGCGGCGCCCAGCGCGGCGCTGAGGCAGCGGCGGGCGGCGGCGGCGGCGAGCGGCGGCGGCGCCCCCGAGACTCCGGGGCGGGCGGCGGGCCCGGAGTCGGCGGGCGGCGGGGTTGGGCCGCCGCTGTCGCCGGGTACCTTCTGGCTCACCCGCATCGTGCTGCTGCGCGCCGTAGCGCTGCTGTACCGTGAGTGTCCGGGCGCTGCCGCCGCGCCGCGTTCTCTCTCCCGGGAGCGGGTGGGGGACGGCCCGGCGCTGCGGGCGGCCCGGCTCGCCGCCAAGCAGAACCGCGGGAATTCCTGAGGGTTTGGGGCTTCTCGCGGTTCTGCGCGCTGCCGGGGGTCGGGTGGGGCGGTGTGAAGGTTTGCACGACCCGTCGCTGTCTGTTGGGTCGGTGCGGATCGGGGCCGTGCGGTGCGGAGCTCGCACCCCGCCCGGGCGCAGCGCTCAGCTCCACCGCGGCGCTGGTTGCTCCCGGGGCGGGTTTGAGTTCGAAGCCCGAGCGAGGCGCGTAGGATGCTGGGGGAATCCTTCGCCCAGAGGGCGGTGTGTGCCCCATGCCCCTTCCTTGGAGGTGCCCGAGGCTGCGGATGGGCCCTTCCTGCCTGAGCTGGTGGGCGGCCAGCCCGTGGAAGGAGTTGGGCTGTGAGGGCCCTTCCAACCCGCCGTGCTGTGATGCCATGGTGTGCTGTGGGAGAGATGCTTGTTTTCAGCTCCGCCTCTTGTGCCCAACTGTGCGACGAGGCCCCGATGCCCAGTGAGCAGCACTGGTGGCTGGGTGGGCTCAAGGGGCTTGGAGGCTCCTGTCCCGCTGAGGAAAGGGTGCCCCAAAGCCAACACCTGTCCTCAGAGCTGGGTCTGGCCATCCTCAAGACGTGTTGCGAGGCAGTGGTGCTAGAGGAGCTTCTCATCTCATCCAAAGATCTTAAAGTAAAGGAGCTCTGCATGTGGACTCAGAGAAAGACTGCATCTTGGGCCCTGTGCAACCTACTGTAGGGCATCTGCTTAGCAGAGGGTTGGGCTGGATGGTCCCCAGAGATGCCTTCCAACCGCAGCGATTCTGTGATGACCCCTCGGGTCCAAGAATTGCCATTCACTTGAGACGGTGAAACTGGTTTCCGACTCAGCTGTACGCATTTGGCTCTTGTTTTGGCAAGTTATACCAAGCGCTGTGCTCAGAGCCTGCTACCGCTCCGCTGAAAAAATATTCGCAGTGAAACCTAAACTGACATGTAACACACTATGTTACAAATTCTAAACTTGCCCCAGATTTGTCCACAAAATCGTTAGGATTTGTAGGCTGCCAGCCTGCTTAGATTATTTTGCATCAAAACCATGCAGAAGTTGTAGTTTTGTATGGTTTTGACACGTGCTCTGTTTCTAGTTTGGTTTCAGCTCTCAGTGAAATGCGGGGTTATGACTCTTTCAGTCAAAATGAAAGCGATTCTGATATTCCCGTGTGTAAATCCAGACTGCTGAGTTTCCCATAGCTCAGTTTGCAGTTTCTTATGAAAAACTGATCGGCGTTCTCTGCTGTGTGTTCTGCAGAGGCTGCTGCTTTCAGACTGTGGATTTGGGGTTGTAAATACATCACATCCTGGAACAAATGCTGCCCTGTAGGCTGGTGGTATGTTGGATGGGAAGGGAGCAGGTGGGGGGTGAAGAGCCAGGGGATGGCAAGGAGCATGTTAGAGGAATGGAGCGTTCAGGTGAATGGGGGAACTCACCTGGGACAACTGGAGTGGTGAGAGGTGGAGAGCAAGCATCGCTTTCAGGGTGAGGGGAGTTACAGCATGGAAAAAAGGAGAGAGGAAAAGTGAAAGCGAGAGAATGAAGCTGAGATGGAAGGCTACTGTCTGAAAGCACAGCGAGCAAATAGAGGCAGAAGAACTGGGTTTCTTTTTTTGGAGGAGAAAAGTGGGAATGCCTGGAGGTGGTGAGAGATGATCCCCTAATGCTTCCACAATGCAGAGTGTTGAGATCCTTTAGAGAGGTGCTGTCAGAAGAATTTCAGGTGCCAGAAGCAGAGGCTGGAAGGAACAGGATAGGAGTCTGTCCTCTATGATGGGAGAGGCACAAGAAAAGTTACCTGCAAGTTATGCAACTTCTGTTGCATTTGTTTGCAGTCAGGTAACAGTGAGTTCTGCTGTTTGTCCTGGTTGAATAACAGCCACCTGACCCAAAGTGGGCAGGTTTGAGACAGGTCTAATTCTGGTCGTCCCCAGCATTGCTGGGACACCAGCTCTGATCTCAGTGTGGGGGAGATGCTGTGCTGAAACGTTGGTGGGGCAGAAACTGGTATGTCTGAGAGAGAACTTGCCATCAGGCAGATTCCTCTGTCAGAGGCTGCAGAGCTGTGGCATGGCTGTGGTGGGATGCTCTCGAGGGAAGGGGAGTTGCCTTCTGATCTTTTCTGTGAGCCAGGCTTTAGAAACAGCAGAAAACAATTTTAAGCCCCTGTGCCAAGCACCTCTTCAAGTCTCTCTTTTGAAGATGGAACCATTTACTCTGACAGATTATTTTTTCCCAGACATGGCAATCCTGTGCACACCGAGACTCAGACTTGCTGAGGAAACGGCTGATGGCGTTGTGACAGTTTGACATTCCTCACTTGTGGGATGTTTTTCCCCTTCTTTCATTTCACCTTCTTAGATGTAACCCTTTCATTCCTGCTGTGTTCAGGAACAAAACCTTTAGGGGAGAGAGGAGAGTTTTGCAGTAAAGTACTGGGGAAAGTGGTCACCCCTGTTGATTGTTGCTCCTGTTAATTGTGGAGCTGGGAGCTCATTATCCCTGGTGAGCGCAAAGGGAAGGGCGAGAGAGTGAAGGACCCTGAGGATTAGTAGAGAGAAGCATGATTTGATGTGCACAGTGATGTGGAGGTGACAGGTCCTCATATCGTCCATGGTGCTTCTGCCCTTTCTCCTTTTGGCTGTACAAGGGGACTCCTGAGCCTGCTGGGTTGCCTGCTGCAAGTCAGATGTCTTCCTTTTGGATCTTTACCTCTGGAAGGAGGACAGGCAGAGCCAGGCAGGTATGAAGTGTCCTGTGTGTGCTCTGTTTGGTTATAACAGCTCTCCTCTTCATTTTTTTTTTATTTGAAGGGGGTTTCCAGAAGCATCCAGGACCTGGGAAGTCCCTGGCAAGGAGTCTGCTTGGGAGGCAGGTTAGAGGTGGGGAGGTGGAAAGGATCTGATTTGTGGAGGCTGGTGAGCAAACCCACCTGCTGCTCAGGGATGGGAAGGAAGGGGAAGATGGCTCTGAGCTGAACGTGCTTGGAGGCTTACTCTTTGCATTAGGGTAGGCCGTTGGGGTTCTCCAAGCTGAGCACTAAGGTAAATAAAGCACCTGTCCGTGCAGTTCTGTTTTGAATAGTACCTTAAAGGGTGTATTTGTAATTTGGGTGATGTATGAGCTCTTACAGCTGATAGCCCTCACAGGTGTGTTGATAGCTGGGAGCTCTTTCTCCACTTCAAGTAAATATAGGCAGACCCAGTGGCAAAACACTTCTGGAGGAGAAGTGGGAAGTAAAGCAGGCTCCAGCATGGGACACTGAGGAGAACTATTCTGTAGGTCTTGTGCTGTGCCATGCTGCCCAGATCCCTCTCCTTGATTCTGTAGAGACATCTTTATATTACTGGTGCTGCCTTCTCTGACTTCCACTGTTAACGCATATCTTCCATGGCTAATTGCAGTCTGTAATTCATGGAGCAGAGGCTTGGAGAAGTGCAGTTGTGACTTCTGAAGTCTTTTCATTATGGTCTTGTGCTTCGTGTATGTTCCCTATCACAGGATAAGTACATAAAGTATTTGAGGTGCTGGTGGAAGTGCTGTTACAAGTAAATAGCTGGTCCCAAAGCTTCTGACAACAAACGTGTGTTATTTGCTCCCTTTGCCCTCTTTCTAAATGATTTTAAGTGCCCCTTTTTTGGATGATTACCGTCATCAGATTGCAGATGTAGAAGTTTTCAGTAATTAGATACCACCCTTCCCAATTTCAGCCATGCTTTGTGGAGTGCTTTGAAATAAAAGCTAGTATGTAAATGCAGTTTATCTTCCTTCTCCTCATATATTGTTTAATAGTAGTATTTTCTTTCCCCAGAGCCAGGGCTACAGGAGGTTTGTCCTGCTTCTTCCCAGCTCTGAAATCCAAAGCCTTCCTGAGGGAGTTGGGCTTCCTGTGGGCTCCTGGCTCTCCCCGGTGTCCTTCCTCCCCTCTCTCTGCCATCTCCTTTGCTTTCCCCTGCTCTTCCCTCAGTTATTTTAAAAGGCTCCCAGTAGCTTTCAAACAACCTTCTCAGTATTGTGGTACATCTTCTGATGTCTTTTCTCCCCAAAAGGTTTGATTTTGGTGTGGTGCTTGTTAGCAAGGCTGCACAGCAAAGGCAGCGTGTTAGTGCTGTGTCTGCTAGTGAGCTCTGTGCCTCTTGTTTAGCTCTGCACAGGACCAGGTGAGAGAAGTGTGTTTGGTACCGAACAAATTACTGCACTGTAGGAAAGTGAATGGACAGCAAGCAGTGATAATTTGAGGGAAATTATAGCAAGAAGTGGGAAGGAGTGAGCCTGCCTCCCAGGAACAGCAGAGATGAACTGTTCTGGAGCAGATGCATCTTCTCAGAGCTGGAGGTTGCACCGCTGCCTGCATAGCATTGAACAACGAGGGTCCGGTGAGAGAACATCATAGCAGTGTCAAAGCCTTTTGTATTTGCTTTCACATTATTTCAATGAGACAATGGAGAGATAGGCACTTAAAAAGTCCCTATGCACAGCCACCCCAAGTCCTTTGCTTTGCTGCTAATGGCAATGGAACAAAAAAGTGCTGAGAAGGGACTGGTTGTGTTTACTCGTGGCTGTGAGGCTGCGGGATGAAAAGGAGCTGCTCAGTTTCATTATGGCTCTTTGCTTATCGCTAGGGTTTCTTGCTTTTGTATTACAGAACTTTGCCGGGGAATTTATCAGTTGAAAACTAATAGTAATTAGGAAACCGTGAACATTCTGCTCCTTTTTCTTGTCAGCAGTACAACCTCCATTAGCCAGCATAGGGCTTTTTTTGAACGCCTCATTGGGTCAAAGGTGCAATTGATATATGGCTCCAGGCAGCCTTTTCTGGTGTGCAAAAGGTAGTTTGGTTTTCATGTAAAGCTTAGTGCTTTTGCTTCATTTCTTCTTGTGGTTTGGGCTTGAGGTAAAAGTTGAGACTTCTTTTAATGGGGGGGGGAGAGAAAGCCATATGACCAGAAAGTCTTAGGTTTCACATCTTTAAATCTTTACAGAGCATGAAGAATGGGATTCTCTCCTTCTCCTTCCATGACAGGCTGAGCCTGGACTGAGGGAAAGAAACTGAGGTGACAGGGCAATGTGGATAGACCAAATCATTTCAGATGGGTGATTCCTGTGCTGCATGCTCCAGTTGTGTTTATTGGTAGCATGTGGGTTTGAACAAGGAACGCCTTCATTTGGGGGAGAGAGGAGCACAGAAGGAGAAGGTGGAGGGGGAGTTAATGGAAAAGTACAGTCAGGCACCTTCTGGGGTGAGGATAAGTAGTGAAGGTCTATTAGCAGCTGGTGACAATTTACATGCATTACTTATGTAAAGATCAGCTGGCAGCAGGTAGGGGAGTTGCTCCCATGTGAGCTGTCAGAGGCTCCTGAGTGGGAGGGAGCATGGGAGTCTCTGGAGCAGAGGGTTCTCCAATCTGCAAAGAAGTGAGGCAGAGTGCTTTGGGGGAAAGAAGAGATGGGCGTGGGATGAAGATGCCCAAATCCAGGCAGTGTTGGTGAGGGGGGAAAAAAGAAGTCCATGCAGTGAGCAGCTGCAACATTGATAGGAAAGGTGATGGAGCTTTATTCTGGCTTTGGAGAATGTGGGATGTGTTCAGCTGCGCTGAGGAGACAGCACTGCCTTGGGAGCCCTCCCAAAGCCTTGTGTTGTTCCCAGCAGTGGTGTGGGGAAGGATGGCTGTGTCAGGGCAGCAGTTAACCTTGCCCCCGTGCCCCGGCCATGCAGCAGGTGTGCCAGCAAGAGCCCCAGGTGGAAGCAAACTCCCTTGACCATGTTTACCTGGAGGGAGTGGGAGGATGGGGAGTGGAAAACCCCCAAACACAAGGCCAAAGGGGAGAGGTTTCAGAATAGGGGCTAAGGAAGAGGAACAAAAGCACAGGCTCTGGGGGCAAAAGGGACTTTTTGTCTGAGTAAGCCAGAATCAAAGGGCTGTTGCCAATGGGATTTAGCTATGAAGTCATTACGTGCAAAATGTCATCGGTGCAGCAAATAATTGGTGTTCTGAGGGGAGGCCACTTCGGAGCCCAGTCTGTGCAGCCTTTAGATGTGCAGTTCGTGCCAACCTATAATGCAGTCTTGTCTGCTTTCAGACTGCAGTATTTTGTACATACAATGTGTACTTTGAATGCTATAGTTTGTTTTTCCTAAATTACCCTTTCCTTGTTTATCTTGCATGCTGCACAGGGGTCTAATTTAAATTTTTCTTTTTAAACTGCTTAGCAGTTCTGGGTTGGGGCAGCAGTTCCTGGAGCATTCGGTGGTGTGGAGTTTGTGATGTAGTTGGTCTTAATTTTTTATTTACTGATTTTTTAACTCGAAGTGGACGATAAAGTTGTTTGAAGCTCAAAAACATTATGTTCCCACTGGCTTGGTGTGATAGGCTCTCTGATTATACAGAAATCAGAAAGAAGTACTGGTAGAAAAAATGAGTGCTTTAACATATAAAATATGTGCTTTGTTGTCCTAAACCGATTCTTTACTGTTGCAGGCTTTTTTTTTCTCGTCAGTAACAGAGTAAAAAATTCTGAGTCTTTTTCCACTTGTGAGGTCTTTCTAAAAGATGGGCAGAAGATGCGACCATGATACCCTGGCATGGTTGCATTCACACTTGGATTCGGGACCTGTTGGCATCAGTGGGAACCTTCCCAGGGACCTCAGGGGTGTTGGGTTGTGCCTTAGTGGTGGTTTAAAATGAGAACAAAATACAGTGTGTGCAAAAAGGTGGAGCAAGCGTGAGATGGATTAACTGAACTGGAGAGTGTGCTGTGTGTCTGGGCGCAGTGGGATGTTTGTCTTTGCTCCCTGGGGTTGCAGATCTGACTTTGGGAAATGGGGATCCAGGCCTGAACTTGGGATACAGTTTCACACAGAATTTCTGCCGGCATTCCCAGAGAGAGCGACCAGATGAGCACCCAAATCTTTGTTTGCAGAATGCCAGTATTCAGATAAGGAAGGAAATGGATTTGATCATTAACAAAAGGGGAGTGGGGGGCGGTGGAACCAACTGGCATTTTGCAAGACCTCAGCTATTGCTGTGTGTGACGTGGCTGCTGTTTGGTTAGTGTTTGTGACAAGGGTGAGTGAGCTGCTGGGAGCAAAATGCGTGGAGCTTAATCAGGAAATGTTGGCCTTCATATATATTTTTTTTTTCTGAGAAATGGAGATTACTGCATTTGTGAACTGCAAATTGGTAACTGGAGGAGATTCCTAAAATATGAGATAATCCCTAGAAGCTGACCAACTTTCTCTGTAGAACATCAAATTCTAGGTCTACAATCTGTAATTAAATTGCTTGTGTGCTGTTAAAAAAAAGCATCTGGCTGTTCTAAGATTGTCCAGTGTGAGAGTGTAGATATGAAACATGGGAGAGCTGCAGCAACTTGTAAAAAAAAAAAAAAGTAGCAATTTGGAGGATGGGAAAATATTAAGTCTTTGTATTTACAGCCTACCAGATCCAGAAGGTCAACCCATATCACAGCTGCTATCTTCTGCAGTTGCAATGCTTAACTGTAGCGCTGCTGGATGAATGATGGTGTGTTTTGGTCTCATTAAATTGTGAAATATTAAGTGTATTCAGCATGAGGACAAATTCCAGTGCTTGATAGGTGCACAGATAACGCTTTATAAAAATGGGAAGTAGGTTGCTGAAATCAAAACATAACACCACAGATAAAATCTGCTTCTGCCACGGGCTGTGTGTGCTGGACAGGACAGGTAGAGTAAATCAGCAGAGCCAGCATCCACGATGGAGCTGTGACACTGCTACGTATTTGGGGAATCTGAAATAAAAAGGGTCAGAAGGTACAGCTGTCTCTTTGCTGCTGCAAAGGAACTGTGTGCATTCGTCTGGCAGCTTAAACTGTGCTCCTCAGTATCTGTGCTGAGGGCTTCCTGGTGTATCCCACACAAACACTGTTTTGTGGAAAGCTAATTCCATCTGAAAGTCTTGAAATTAATGCATTACTTTCACTCTGCATCTGCAATGCAATTAAGCTGTTTTCCTCATCTGCATTAGGAGATGAATAGCATATGTGAGTAACCGGGGGTCACGCTGAGTCCAGCAGTTGGGCTGAGCCTCCTGTTTGTTGGTGGGTCAGGTCCGTTGGCTGCAGGCAGCTTTTCCCAAAGTGTGTTACTGAGTTTGCCTGAAGCAAATGGCACATCCCTTGCAGCAGTTGGGGAGAAAATTATCTCAAAACAGATGCTGTGCCATTTCCTGATGTAAAGCGTAGACGGAATTCCTCTGCCTTTTACATCATGCTAAATAGAAATGGCTGTGTTGTGTTTTAGTGGAGATGAGGACATGTTACAAATTCCTTCCCAAGACATGAATATAATTCTGTAATATATATAATTATATATATAATTATAATTTCTAATACTTTTTTTCTCCTTGTTTTCCCTCTAGTTGTGGCCTTCCTGGTGGCGTACCATCAAAACAAGCAGCTGATAGGAGAGAAGGGGCTGCTCCCATGTAAACTATACCTGCAGAATGTCAAAAAGTATTTCAAAGGGAAGATAAACCTGGATGCCCTCAGCTATGCCCCAACAATCATCTGGTTTCTGGACTGGTCAGATATGGACAGCGTCTTGGACTACATCTCCATGCTTGGTCTGGTGATTTCAGCCTTTGTGTTGATAACTGGATGTGCAAACATGGTCCTCATGGCTGTCCTGTGGATCCTCTACCTCTCATTGGTCAATGTTGGACAGATCTGGTAGGTTAACAATCTCTCTCCTTTGCTTTTTTCTGTAATTTCTTGCAGTTTATTGTACCCATTGACTTTCTATTACTGTTTGAGGTTAGTCATCTGGTCAGGAATGATGTATACATGTGAAAGAAGGAAGACATTGAGCAGAAATGACTTATGGGCATGTTCCTGCTCTCTTTCACTCAGAAAATCAGTCCTGATTGCCACTGTTCTCTGCAAGAGAGCTGGCTGCACAAAATACCATGCTGCGTGTTGTCTTTTGCAAGGGAATTCCCTTGAGATTGGTTTATCAATTTCCAGTTTTATCCAGAGACCTGGAGCACTCAAAATAAATATACAACACCTGTGGGAAGGAAAAAGGAAAGAAGAAGAATGAGTGCATGTTGCCTAGCTGCAGAGGAGAGCTATGGTGCAGATTTTGGTTTAAAGAAAAGCATGCTTCAGCCAGGGGAAGCGTTTCAGCTGGTCTTCATGCTTTTTTTTTAAGGCCTTAGAGTTGCTGACTAAGATAATGGGGTCTTGGGAAACCAAACTTCATTAATTCACCTCTTTAAGAAGAGCAGAGGCAGTAGGCTAACTTGGAATAGCTGGAAGGCCCTGCCATGAAGAGTGCCTGTACTGTTGGATGTGATCCAGCTGTGTCACTGCAATGTTCTGGCTCCACAGCATGTGACTGGACACCCTCATTATAGAAGGAATCAATGAATTTAATTTTAGGGATTTGTATGTGGTTGAGCAGCCCGGCGTCTTGTCCCATCCCATTCATTCCTATCCTACTCCCAATGGTATGTAAGTGGGTGAACGATAACAGCTTCAGTTTTCTGAAAAGCTCTATTTTCTGAGCTCTTAACTCAGCATGAACTTAAGACTGCGAAAGAAAGCCACAATTTGAAAAATAGTTTGGAGACAGTTTTCTATTGCCCATTTCCAAGTTACTCCAAAATTGCTTGCCTATTTTTCTAGATTCTCTACAGGGTGAGGATTCAAGCATCACCCTGTTCATTTCCACAGATACAGGATTCTGGATGGGACTAATACCTGTCTATTGCCAATTTTATTCACGTTGCAAGGTGTGCAGCTGGAAGATGGACCTGCAGTGCTGTAGGAGGCTGAAGGTTGTTTGATCTTGCCCTTGAGGAGCAGGCTAGCTAAGAACTTAGTGCTTTTAAAGAACTCTGGAGCGCTCGGTGTTCTGGTGTCATGGCTGTAGCAGTGGTGTAACTTCATTACAGTTTTAATTAAAGAAAAAACAAATAAAAAAACACCCTGGTTGGGATGTGTTCTCAGCCTCCATTGGGCAGGCATGTTCTGCACTGCCCCTCTGCTCCCTGTGGCTTTCCATGCTGGCGGCAGAGGTGTGAACCTCTTCTCTGCAGGAGCTGGAGGGATGGCAGTCCTGCAGAATTCCCAAGGTTTGGCCAAAAGCAATCTACCTGTGCCTTTTTAACTCTAAGTGACCATTCTGTTGTCTTCCAAGCCTGTGCAGTGAAGAGCAGGGGGATGAGGGGAGCCTCTTTCATGGGGAGCTGAACCACCAGTAACCAGCAGATCGTGTCCAAATGCCTCTTCCTGGGGGGTTTTAAAGCTCACGACCCAGCTTTAGGTCTCATTGCAGCTCTGAAGACAATGGGTTGACCAACAGGAATGCAAGAGAGGCCAGAGTTTGCATTCTATGGATGCTGTGGTTGAAAGGAATTGTCTGTTGATTTTTGAGATAAGGCTTTTTTTTATTATTTTTCTTTGCTTGCTTCATTCCCTACTTCAGATTTGGAATTTAAAAGTGATAATGTCATGAGGGGGTTACTCCTGGTATCCAGCAATAACGTAGTGTGGGAAGGGGCCAGGTTCTTCTGGGGGAAGGGCTGAGAGGGAAAAGGGTGGGGGGGAAGGGAAGTGCTGCCCCAATTTCTCTTAGTTGTGGCATTGAATGTATTAAACAGGAAATTAGGTTCGTGTAAAGGGGTGGGAGAAAGGAATCAAAGCAACCCAGCAGTACAGTCCATTCTTTTGTGGTTACAGTTTTTCATTAGATCCTCTGAAATGGGTCACTGGGTGGTGTAAACCACATTATTGTTGTGCATGCAGTGTGACGTTCAGTTCCATGGAGAAGGGGTGCTGGAAGCTGGGTGCTTACAGTGCAAGTGAAGGTGGGGAGAGGGAAAGGGGTGGGTTAAGTCTGTCCTCGGCACCCTGCAGAGGGTTTGGTGGCACCTGGTGCAGGCTGGCAGTGCCTGAAGTCTTACAGACTTTGGGGTTGTGGGTAACAGCATTGAGCTTGGTATTGGAGTAGCCTTGAAACTCTCCATGTCAATGGGAATATTGATGGTATTACGTGGCTTGCTAACTTTGTCTTACAGATTTGGACAAGTTGAGAGGTTTTGATGAGGTGTGATTCTTCCCTGAATCATGTGGAAAAACTGCTGTACCAGAAGAGTGGTGGGGTCACCATCCCTGAAGGTGTTTCAGAGCCGTGGAGATGTGGCACTGAGGGATGTGGTCAGTGGGTATGGTGAGATGGGGGTGAGGCTGGAGTTGGGATCTTAGAGATCTTTTCCAACCTCAGTGATTCGGTGGTCTATTGAAGACCACAGCAGCTTCTTAAAAAAGGGGAAGCGATAACATTGCCAGAATTTCCTGGTAGCAATTATGAGACAGCTCAGTGAAAGTGTCTGAAATAAGGAAGAAGCTCCTCTCGTGGCCCCATTATTGCATGGTTGGTTGTAGTGCTGCTCTGCTGCAAGCCAGCACTGCTGGGCAGACTGCAGGCTGCTCCTGTCCAGCAAACACTGGGAAAGCAGTTCAAGGATATACAGGGGAACAGGGAGGAAGAGTTCTCTTTAGGCCAGTGAGGAACAATTTATTCTTTTTATCGCCTTTTCTTTTTTTCTGTTTTAATTTTAAATGTTTCTATTTGTTTTGGGCTGGAGGCTCCAGATGCCGGGCGCTGCTGAAGGATCAAGTCTTTCAACTGCTGCCCAGCTGGCTTGGGCTCAGAGTCAGAGGAAGCTTTAGAAGAGCAAACTGTCCCCTTTGGAAGGCCGGGCACGTCACCTGCCTCCTGGTGCTGCTGCATCTGAGCTGGGGGGGAGCAAAGCCTGCTGCAATTGCACTGCAAGGGACCAGCTCGGGCCTTTGGGTGTGCTGTAACACCTGCTGACTTAAAAAACAAACAAAAAAGCTAACCAACCAAAAAGAAAAGACAAAATATTGGGATTTAAAATCCAGGAGGAGAAAGACGCCTGCCTGGATGGTGAAGGAGGTTAGTTGTTGACTGTGGGAAATGAGGTGTCGGGGGGGAGAATGTGGTTCCTTGTGTCCCAGCACTGGGGGTCCCATCCTTGGAGGCAATGGCCTCCAAAAGGGTCAAGTTCAATTGCTGGGGGATGAAGCTGCCCCTCTGGATGGTGCCTGGTACTTTCAGTGCAGGTTGGGTTTTAGAAGCTAGTGTGTACACAGGGAAGGAAGTTGCTCCTGCAGCAGGTTGGCGTGAGATGCTTGTGATAGATTTCCCGTGATAAGGATTACTTTGGGAACTTGAAAATGCTGAGAACTGGAGCCAAGACTCTGTCCTGGCCCTAAACTCTTGATTTGTCCACTTCACAGTTGTCTCCACCAAAGCACAGGTGAATTGCATGAATTCAGATGCACTTTGATTGTGCTCAAATGTAGGCCGACTCTCAGAGAAAAGCATGTTAATTTTGGTACCTGTGAAATGCAGGACCAAGATGCCAAACCTTACAGTGAAGTGCACAGGGAAGCTTTTGTAATTCCGAGCACTCTGTTCCCAAGCCAGCTGTGATATTCAGAGTCTTCTCAGACTAAATCTGGATGTATTCTCTGGCTTTGTAATGGTTCTATGTGTTTATCACAGGCTTAGTATGTCTGTCTTAAGATATTGGATTTATTTCCCCCTCTGCCATTCTGAACTTTTGCTTTTGAGATAGGAGGGGTTCATCGGGATTTCTAGACACTGAAATAGCACAAAAGAACATTTGAAGTCTGACCCACAGCTTGGATGAAATGCTTGATAACTGCATTTGTTTTCTTGCAGTTGTTGCAGACTATTCCTAATTTCAGTAAAACAACAGTAAAAAGTGGTCCCTGTTCAGCAATAATAGAACCTATTCAATGAATCTAGAGGTGCCTGTAAATGTTTTTATGGGAGCCTCTCATACTTAATTATGTGTTTTGTTGTCTGCTAGTCCTGCTTGTCTGGGTTGAGTCTCTGGAAGAATGATGGAGCTCTGCAGGTCCACTCTAAATGTCTTTGCCTTTCTCCCTCCTTAATGTGAATCTAATGGATTGTAGTAGATTTGAACAGGAATGGGAAAAGCTGTCCCTTCTTAAAAGTACAAGTATGTGTTGCAGGTGACCTCACAAAACCTCCATTTGTGGTTTTCTTCCCCATGGCTTCTGCTGCAGCCGCTGTCTGCAGGGATGGGCTCAGCAGAACAGGTCCTTTGTCAGGATGGGCTCTTGGGGAGAGGTGTTCTAGCAGAAGTTGAATCATTTTTGTACCAGAATAACTAATGCACTTCCAAAGTGAATTCATAATTCTGGAATAAAATCACTTTTATCCCACAGTAAGGTGTCTCCAGAGAGCTATTACATTTTCTTATATAAACAAACTCTTAAACTACTCTGCCACTGATCTCCTGTTCCTTCGTCTGTTCTTTCCTCTGCAAACCACTCCCCCAACTGACATTCAGATGTTGTTTGAAAACCCTTTCCTTTCCCATCGCCATTGCTTTGCTTCACTGCACAAAACATTGTCCACTGTTAGCGTTGGGCGGTACAGTGTGTGAGACACTTGATACAAAAGCTAGAATTGTGGGTTTTTAAATCCTATTACCTTTTTTTCCCCTCATAACTGAGATTCTGGTAGAGCTACAGGAGCTCAAGGGAATATGTTAAACAAGCCAATAAATAACATGTTGTAGCTTGAGGTGGCTACAGTGCTCTTTTCAGTGCCTTCTTCCCTTGTGGAATACCTTGGTTGAGCTACT